CACACAGTGGTGCTTAACTGTTACTTGAATCTTGAGAAGTCTAAAAGATAGGCCAGCTTTAGCAAGGTTTGTGGATATCAGTGGAGTTCGTAGTAAAATGTGGGTCAAAGTAGCTAATGTGAACTAAGCTATCATTAGTAGAATAGTATCTAAAAGCAAGGAGGTAGCCCTGGCCGGTTTGGCTCGGCGGTTAGAGCATCAGCCCACAGACCAGAGAGGTCCGGGTTCGGTTCCTGCTAAGGGCATGTACCTCGGTTGCGGTTCATCCCTGGCCCTGGTTGGGGTTGTGTGGGTGGTGGCCACTCGATGTGTCTCTCTCATGTCAATGTTTCTCTCTCTCTCTCTTCCTCCCTCTCTCTCTCCCGCTATATCTGATGATAAATGCAAAAATGTCCTTGGGTGAGGATTAAAAAAATAAAAATAAAAGCAAGGAGGTAGTCCTCCTGTGTTCCCCTGGGTCCCATGCCATTCCTTTGAAAAAGGGAAATAAGTTTGTTCTGTTCTGTTTGGGGCAGAGGAATAGATCTGGGCCACTGGGTGAAATGAAAGGAAACATCTCAACGAGCATGTGGAGCCTGCCACTCTAGAAAATAAAAACAGTTCATCTGTGGAGATGTGTGTCACAGGTTAGGTGAAAATTGGCAGAGGTACCGTAGGTAAGCTTCTTAGCATAATTTAGGAGGTTTAATTTCAGAATCTTTTTTTAAAAATTAATTAATTTTTATTTTTTATCTTTATTGTTGAAAGTAGTACAGATGTTTCCTCTAATTCCAGAATCTTTAAGGGCACACTGAAGCCTAAGATTCTGATATTTCCTGATTTTATCCCTAATCTATCATGAAACTGAAGCCTGTAGACTACGCATGCAGTAGGTTTTCATAAATATGTGTTAAGTGTATGAACAATAAAAGGACCACCTTGTTCATAAAGAAAACATGTAAAGACACACAAGCTGTGACGGTGTAGACCAGTTACTCTATTGTTTGTTCAGAACAGCAGAGAAGCTTGTACTTCTTCCAACACCATTGATGCTAATCCCGAAAAGAAATGTATAAAGTAAGTAAGCTAGACTGTAAAATCTGAGATCTAAAACACATGGAAAACCTTCAAAACCGCAGCTTTAAAACACTGTTACATATGCTGTAAAAGGAAAATCTCAACTTGAAAAGAAAAATATCTGCAGCTTAGAGAGGAACATAAAGGTGACAATTCGGAAGACCATGTGTTTAACCACATTAGGTAAACACCAGAAAAACCAACACAAATTATGGCTAGAACGCAAAATAAAGAAGGAGGGCGAAGAAAGAAAAACTGATTGTCGAAGAGTTGGCTTACCCTGTGAGATTTCAAAATGTATCCCGATATAAAATATTAATTAACAATCAACATTCCAGAAATTGTTGTAAAAGATTTGCTAAAATGAATATATAAAGAAAAAACAAAACAACGTGAGAAACAAAATCACTAATAAATAATGTAACAAAATGCCTATCGGTATGTACCACATCATAAATTCTAGGTGATTCAGATCATTCACTGACTCAATTCATTAATTAATTGAAAAAGGAATGGTGTCAGAGGGTAAAGGAGTGAGTTTAAAAAGTAAGAAAGTAATAAGGGAGTAAGTAAGGAAAAAAGACAGTAAATAGCCTTTGGGGGTGGTGATTGCTGGGTACCTGTCAGAAGGCCACTGAAACCCAAGGCTAACTCTGGAACAGTTTGAGCCCAGAATAAATAATGTTAGTATTGGCTTATAAACCAAAGAATAAAGTAAGTATTCATGAGTCCACAGTGATATAAAGAAATAACTGTATAAATAAATAAATACATGGGAGAGAAGAGATAACTCTCTAGTTCTAGCAAGCCAACAGGGAAAAACTTAGACTTTTGAAGATGGTTATGTGTTAATTGCAGATTTTAATTAAATACCTAAAATGGTGGTTTCTTTTTGGATAAATTAGTGTATGAGCATTATAATCTCATTTGCAGAAAATGTCTGTTAGGAAATATGCAGAATATAATGCTGTGCAGGATAGCAAGAAGTACATCTATATTTATAGTGTGTCCGCCAGTTTGGCTACTGTGTGTGTGTGTGTGTGCGCGCGCGCGCGTGCGTGCACGCTTATAAAAATAGAAAATGTGCCTGGCCGGTGTGGCACAGTGGTTGAGTATCGACCCATGTACCAAGAGGCTGCTGGTTTGATTCCTGGTCAGGGCATATGCCCAGGTTGTGGGTTCAATCCCCAGTGGGGGGCATGCAGGAGTTGGCCATTCGATGTTTTCTCTCATTGATGTTTCTCTCTCTCTCCCTTCCTTTCTCTAAAAATCAATAAAGAAAAAAAATTTAAAAAAAAATGTTTAAAATGATAGTTATATTGAAATAAAATAAAAATTATATATAATCCATTTTTTTTTGCAAATTTTCTAAATTATTATTTTTCAAATAAAAATTTTAAATATAGGTAAATTGAGGGGGGGCACATATCATCACTGAATGTATATCCAAAATATCTATTTGAAATAGTTTGGGGATAGTATAAGTAAATACATAACTTAGATTATTTATTTGCTTTATATTAGTTCAAAAAGCCACTATTAATTTCTCTACCACATTGCTTTATGTGACAAAAGTCAGGGTAGAAACTTAAAGTGTTTTTCCCCCTATTTTATAAGCAGGGGGAAAATAAGTATTATTAATTTTATTAAATACTAAAAATAATTTTTATTAATAATTAAACTAATTCCATCTATGCAGTGGCATCCATAATATATATATAAGCACATTTGAGCACAGATATTTTTAAAACTTCTATTTATATATGTTAAGCATCTTCGTTTATGTACCAATATCCTCTTCAAAAAATCCATTCAATATGCAATTGTCTAACACATAAAATGTTTACAAAGTTTAACTTTGATATTATTTGACAATATTTACTATGTTAAATATTTCCAGACCAAAGTATATAATTCATTTTACCCATTTAAATAGTGTCTTGTCTCCTAGAAATGTTTATAACAACACACCCAAAATATGGATGAAATAAACATGGACAATAAAATAAAAATAATACAATTAATTAGAGAGCACTCCGTTGTAATGCGACTCTAACCATCTATAAAGCTAATCTGGCTGTGAATTCTACTTTGGCAGCACTTCTGTCTGGCTTTCCTGCCTCACATTCAAATGAGATTCGTATAATTTAAAATATTTTGGGACTCTGTTCTCATCAAAGAGAATTTCTGGGGAATATCAAAACCAAAAACTGGGGCAAAATCTAGTATCCATCATCAGATTTCTGCTACAAAAATGTCATGCCTCGAAACCCATCAAGGGACAGAACAAGTCACTAAGATGGATTCTGCTTCCTCACCTTGTTTTCCAGAGCACAGCGTAGTGTCTGGCTCATAGCTGATAGTCAATGAATGTTCCATTAAAAAAAATAGAAATATATGATTTTCTTTATGGCGTACATTACGACAAGTTTTCATTCTGATTCATGTGAAGCTATGGAACTGGACTAGATTCATTTACTAATAAATCTGATATTAAAAAAGAAAATCCGCCCTGGCCGGTTTGGCTCAGCGGTTAGAGCATTGGCCCGCGGACCAGAGAGTCCTGGGTTCAGTTCCCGCTAAGGACACGTACCTCAGTTGCGGTTTGTCCCCGGCCCCGGTTGGGGTTGTGCGGGTGGCAGCCACTCGATGTGTCTCTCTCACATTGATGTTTCTCTCTCTCTCTTCCTCCCTCTCTTCCTCCCACTGCATCTGAAGATAAATTCAAAAATGTCCTCAGTGAGGATAAAAAAAAAAGAAACTCCACATAGACGTTAAACCAGGTAGGTGTGAACATAAAGGACATCAGTACAAACTACCCACCTACACTGATGTACCACAGAAGATGGTACAATTAAAAAAAAACAAAAAACTTTAGAAAGCCAGAGATTCCAAAAACCATTTAGAAATGATTCTACTGTTAATCAAATGGTGAAAGATGGATGTTTCATATAATTAAACACCTGAAGAAAATGAGAGTAATGAAAAATCAGGAAAGCAAATCAGAAAAACAAATTTAATTTTGTAAGTACGCATATTTTCTTATAACTCGTTTTCTTAAAGAAAAGGAAACGCAGATTGCAGAAGAAGAGGCTAGAACAACCTGTTTATTCTTTCCACTTAAATGACTACAGCAATTCCCATACCGGTCTTACTACCATAAAAAATTATAGACGTTTGTCTTGGTTTTTGTTGTCAAAATTGATCAAATCACCAGAAGAATTTTAATAAAAAATTATGGACATAACCGTAGTTAAAATTTTGATGATCATATTTGCTGGTCTATCTTGTAATAAGCCATACATTCAAAATTATTTGACTATATAACTACCTATAGACACATACATATATAGCCACATGTGTATGCAGATATATATATGCATGTATGTGTATGGCTGTGTACATAGCCATAAAAATCTAGACTTACTAATATGTCTTTGGAATAATGCACACACATATTGTTCTTATATGGAATCAGACCTTATATCTGTTTAAAATAATTCACAAGAAATATTCCTCAGAATAAGTGAAAAGCGCTTGATCTATCATACTGCGTTCTTTTCAGAAACCATTCTGAGATACCATTTCCTGGCACCGCTCCAAGTGTCTAAGAGTTTTAACATGATACTTGTTTTTCTTCCTAATAAAATTTTGGAGAAATGCATAAAAGTAGATTAAACTATGTCAGATTCTTTAAAAGAAAACATTGTTCTTCTTTCAAGAAGGCTGCTATGTAGCAAAAGGAGGGGAAAGGGCACTGCAGCAGTTCTGGAGATGCATCTGGATGCTCTTTGATGAACAGCCTTCCAGCACCCACGCCGGAGCGGGAGACGTGCTATCAGCGCTTCCATCAGAGGCACTACTGACTCCTCGTTTCTATCTCGTCTCATCACGACATTCTCATTTCGCTCCCTCAGCCAACGATTAGAGGAAAGCGTCCTTACCCCGTGGGTGAGTCACAATGGCGTCCACGGCGGCAAGGTCCCCTTCTCCCTCTTTGTTGTCACCGCTCTCTTCGCCACCATCGCCCTCCAGCAGTTTATCCACCATGGCGATGATGCAGTTCAGGCTCTTCCCCACGTTGGCCCACACCCTATCCTGGAAAGAACATGAGTATCAATACACATTTTTTCTGCAAAAGCAAGATGAGGCAAAATCTGATTAATCCATTTTAGAGAAGCAAGTAGAGGAGCAATCATCAGAACGCAGACTCAGTGACCAGCGTTAATACGTCCATTCATTTGGCCAGTCTATGGATACTCTAGAAATCCATTTTCTCTTAATAAAGCATAATCTATGTGCTGTAAATCTTTTTATTGAGTTGATCATTTTTATCTGTCATAACGTAATGATAAACTACCATACAATATTCATCCATAATTGAGCTCAAAGTATGAAATTTTAGACTGGATATATCTATTTTCCTTATCAACACTTAGAAAGAAAGCAAAGATGCACCAATATTTTTAAAGACTGCCCACCACTTGCATTAGAAATTCTTGTCTTTCTTTTTAGTGTGATAATATACACATAAAGTCTACCATTTTCACAATTTTGAAGTGTCCGGTTCAGTGACATCAAATACACACACATTGTTGTGTGACCATCACCACCCTCCATCTGCAGAACTTTTGCATCTCCCGCACCTAAAACGTTGCACCCTTTAAACATGAACACATTCTTCCCTCCCTCAGCCCCTGGCAGACTCATTCTACCTTCTATGAATCTGACTACCCCAGGAAAGGGACATTCTTAAAGTGTGGTCCCCAGCCAATGGGAACAAACTCTGCTATTAAGGGAAAAGGGGAAGAGGATTGCTCTGAATTTTCCAGATAAGTTTTGTGAGATACATTTTCAGGTCTCTTCCTGACGCCCAAATTGAGAGACACTTTGCATTTTTGATTAAAAACAAAACTAGAAGGCTTGCAAGCTGCTGCTTTCTTATGCAAAGGAACACAAGGGATGGGTCCTCTGATCTCCATCACATCTCCGAGGAGCCTGACCAGAAGGTAATGTGAAAGGATGGTTTTATCTCTATGTTACTCTTCTCCCTTTACAGATACCTCAAGTTATAGGATTCCACTGACAGGAAAAGTAACCTTTACAGCCACTAAAGAGATCTTTATTGGCAGGAGGAGCAGAGTGAAACATGTTCATTGACCAACACCAACAACCACAGAGTAAGAGGTTAGATGGCAAACAGTAGAAAAACATTTACGTCGTTAAATGCTTAGAGGACACGTGAGCTGGGAGGGTGTGCTGGGGTGAGCAATTGAACGGTTTCTAATGCAACACTAATATACAGTGCATGCATAATTAGATATTCTACTGAAGCGACACTCAGCGGCAGACACTGAGTAGACTCATTCTGTTCTTTACCTTCGGGGGAGAAGACCCTGCCCAGCTGCTAATGAGAAAAATCTGAGCCTTACCGGTCATGATTCCTTCTCTTTTATAGCATCTAAATAGTGTAGTGACGTTACTGATTTGTTTTGCACTTCTGTCTCTAATACCAGACTATGAATTATTCGGGAGCTGTGTCCTCAATACATTGCACAGGACTGGAAGAAAGGCAGAGAGAGAGGGAGGGAGCAAAGGAGAGAGGAGGAGAGAGATCACTCCAACCCAGAGATACATTCGGGACTGCTGTTTATATCACCTGGCATATGAACATAACTAATTAACCTCCAACACCATCAAATTAGTTTACTTTTAGAAATAAAGAGACATCAGGTAAGAGATGTTGAATAACATTCAATATTAAAATGGTACAACTGGGCTAGAAATTCCATTTGACCCCCAAGACCTGATTCTTCCCCCATGATTTCCCACAGACCTGTGGTACACGGCAGGAATTCCTCTTTGTGAAATTGTCAGAACTTGGGGACAGGCTAGAAAAAGAAAGGTCAGAAGAGAGAGACCAGGAAGAGTCAGGTAGAGATGTATGTCACCTCAAAGGAGCAAGATTCAGTTTCAGTTATCTAAGGCTTAGAAATGAGCCCAGAGGTAGATTCTGGACTTAGAGATATGACTACAAAAAGGACAGGCTGGTCAGCGTACCCTGAAGTCTGAAATGGAGAGTGTCACATAACCAGGGATGGAGCAGTCACTCGGCTAAAGGGTCAATCAGCTTCGGTCAAGGGACATTAGTGGCCAGTACTTACAGAGGACAGTGTCAGTGCCAAGGCCTAGTCCATTCATGTGACTGGGATAGAAAATAGACGGTGGGTTACAGGGGGAAAGCTGATCATCCCATTCCTAGGAGACTGGGTGCAAGAGAATTATTTTAGAACTGGGGAGCTAAAAATGGGTGGGCAAGAGCCTTGAAGGGGAGCCTTCAATGTCCGATTTCTCTCCACTCGCTGGAATGTCTCCGTGAAAACACCCACACAAAGAAAAATAACCAGCCACAATACATTCTTGCTCTGATGATTATTACTCACGAGGTTGGTTCGGGAGGGAAATTCTTTTTGATTAGATTGCTGGTATGGCTGGAGCCAACTCCACTTTCTTCCCGACTAACATCACACAACTTCTTTCAGACTGTTCCCATAAAGAGGGAGGGCTGGTCAGTGGGGAGAAGACAATGGATGCATGACAATGGACAGCAGGACCTGGTGCTGCCCACCCCTCCCTTTCTTGGGGAACAGCCTTCGGACCCTGTTGAGCTCATCAGCCACACGAGAGGTTTAGAAACAAAACAAAACAATAAACAACCACCGCAACAACCTATTAGAAAAACAGATTGCTGGACCTTTACCCCTGACAATAGCAGCCACTATTCTGCTCTGTCTCCTGCTGTATGGAGGATGTAATGGAAAGCTGGTAGGTTCAAAGCGTAACCTTTATTAAATGGAGTCTAACTGGTGTACTTGACCTTAAGGGAGCCTTCACACAACTTTACTTCTTAGAGGTGAAGTACTCATACACTTTTTATTTTTTTGGCAATGAGGGCACAGCATCAGCGGGGAGCTAGCAGTAATATTTATTCCATTCTGAGTCTGGTGTTGATCTCAGTTCTCACGTATTTCTGGGTGAGGGCCCACATGAAGGGTGAGCTCTGTAGCAACAGACGCAGACGTCTGATGGGCGTAGCAGTGAGCGGTCAGGGGGACATCACACCTCGCAGAGTGAGCCCTGAGGGCAGGGGCCACGGGCTCACTCAGCACTAAGAGAAATCCTGACTGCTTTGGATCAGCTGTTAACTTAACAAAAAAAAGTTCAGCATTGCTTAACTGATCAACTTTTCTAGGTCCAATTTTTTGATCAGCAAGAATGTGAAGACTAAACCGGAGCTGCTATGGGAGAGGGGGTCCAAGTAGCCCTGCTGTATGTATATCTCCATGCACAATGTCCCACCTGGCATTACTGATTTCTCAGGACCTTGATCAGAACAGACATGTGGATTGACAAGGCCAACTGCCACCTTTAACAAGACGCTTCGGTTTATCCTGGATTGAGTGAAATTTGCACTATGCTGACCTAGCTCAACACTGCAAATCTTTGTTCTTTCAATAGCTTGAAAGCTCTTTCCTCTGATCCCAAGTTTACGGAGACTTACAAGGCTCCAGGCACAAACCGGCACAGGTGTGACCCAAGCTGTGTAACACACACACCTGCACACACACATCACATCCACTCAAAATAGCCAGACATGTGACATCCATCAGAATTCAGTGAGATTTCCCCATCTTTGCTTCCTACTGATCCTCCTGCTTAAATTCTCCCATTTACTTATGTAAAAATCCCTTCCAATAACCACACTACTGGTCTTATCCTGAAACTCAGCCCCTGGTCACACAGTAGATTCAGATAATCAGGCACCATTTCTCCAGTGCAGATCTCCCCATATTCCCAGACCTACCCAGGATCAGCTACGACTGAAACAGGTCTACGCCCACGTGCCACATGTATCTCCGTCGATGCCCCAGCTCAAGTCATCACCCCTCTGATCAACAGCACTGCAGGGCCTCATTCTCCTCTGCGCCTAGAGTCACCTCTTGAGTTGAGTCAACCTAGAAATTCTCCTTATTTCTGATTAGTCTTCAAAATGAAAACTTAATCTGGGTCAGTCATCTTGCTACGCTAGCAACATGCTGTTAAATAGCTTAACATCTATTTTCTGGGCACCTGCTACATGCCTGCTTAGTGCTGAACACGGGAGACATGCAGGAAATCTTGGAGGGACTAATAGTTCTATTTGGATACATGCTGGTTTTTATGCTTAGAATACCTTCTTCCTTGTCTTCCATCAACCTAAATACTAACCCCTTTCAAGTCTCACCATCTCCAAGACTGTTCATGCTATTCTCCCTCTGCTTCATGCATTTTTTTCCTTTCTGATGGACAGCGAGCTCTATGAGGAAAATGACTATTATTTATTAATCTTTTTATTCTCTGGTCCTCAGGTGATAAATAAAAGAATGAGTGAGTGAATCAATGAATAGAAAAAAGAAGGAAGTGATATATATTTTTCATCTTCTCTAACCTTCATATAATTTATCTCTGAATCTTTTCAACATTTTAAAAAATTGATTTCAGAGAGAAGAAGGGAGACAGAGACAGAAATATCAATCGGTATGTGCTCTGATCAGAAATCGAACCCGCCACCTTTTGGTGTGTGAGATGAAGCTCCAACCAACTGAGCCAAACTGGCCAGGGCTCTTTTCAACATTTTTTTATGTGTATCACACAACCATCTCTATTCTGGGAATCTCTCTCAATATCTCTGCTTGTTTATGAGTGCTGGCCATTCACTTGAATTACATGGTATGGTTGTTGAGATCAGAATCCACATTCTATACTTAATTCGTTTCCTTCAAAGTACCTATAGCATTGCTATGCATCAGTGGTGCTTAATTAGCATCTGTTGATTGACTGAATAACCTGCTACTTAGGAATAAAATGAAATTAAGATACAACTTTAACAAGTATTACCACATCTTCAAGTCAAAGTCAGAACTAAGCTCAAACTCAGGCTGAGTTCACCCTAATAAACTCCACATCACGCTAAAGCTTTTGATTTAGAAAAAATATTAAATAAAGCATTTGTTTAATAACAAAAAATTACCAGGGATTGGATAAGGCTTTGCATTTTA